TGTAAATATCCTGCCACATGTTTTCTCTATAATTTCTTCTTTGCATCAAAGAGGTATCTTATATTTTTTCCCTGTGTTTCCATTTTCTAGAATTTCAGGTTAAAATACTCATGTATCTCAATCTATTCCTTTAGAACAGCAATTTCTGATTGAAATATAATAAGAGCCACATAACTGACTTTGAATTTTATAGTGGCCACAATTAAAACGTAAACAGGAATAGGTAAGACTAATTTTAATGACGTATTTTATTTAACCTAATATATATAAAATGTTATCATTTCAACACTGAAGCATCTGAAAAATTGACGTTTATATTTTTTTTTCAGATGAAGTCTTCCAAATCCAGTGTGTATTTTGTACCCATAGTACATTCAGACACTGGATGTTCATCAGAAATACTTGAGCTGTATTTAGATTTCAGAAGCATTGCCATTGAAAAAGTAGACTCACATTTCCAGGTTGTTCCAAACATATTTAAAAGTTTCCCAATAACACAAACAAGCATCAGGTGCTTTATTTATTTAATTAAAATTAAATAAAATTGAAAATTCACTCCCCTATCACTCTAAATGATACCGAACTATCATACAAGATCATAGTGGTCAAAACAGCATGATAATGAAATAAAAATAGACACATAATTCAATGGAACAGACTAAAGACCCCAGAAATAAACTCACACCTGTATGGTCAATTAATATATGACAGTGGAGGCAAGAACATACAATAGGGTAAAGACGGTCTATTCAATAAATGGTGCTGAGAAAATTGGACAGATAGATAAAAAAAAAATGAAACCAGACCACCTTCTTACACCATAAACACGAATAAACTCAAGGTGGATTAAAGACCTATGTGAAATATGTAAAACTCAAAACCATAAAGCTCCTACAAGAAAACGTAGGCCGTAAAGTCTCTGACATCTCTCGCAGCAATATTTTTGCTGACATATCTCCTTGGGCAAGGGAAACACACACAAAAAAATAAACAAATAAGACTACATCAAACTAAAAAGGTTTTGCAAAGCAAAGGAAACCATCAACAAAACAAAAAGGCAGCCCTAGCTTGTTTGGCTCAGTGGCTAGAGCATCAACCCGTGGCCTGAAGGGTTCTGGGTTCGATTCTGGTCAAAGGCACATACCTCGGTTGCAGGCTCGATCCTTGGGCTGCATGCGGGAAGCAACCAATCGATGTGTCTCTCTCACATCGATGTTTCTCTCTGTGTGTCTCTCCTCCTACATTCTACTCTCTCTAAAAATCAATGGGAAAATATCCTTGAGTGAGGATTAACAAAGAAAACCAAAAAATGAAAAGACAAGCTATTGACTGGGAGAACATGTCCACCAATGATACATCTGATAAGGGGTTAGGATCCAAATTTTATACAGAACTCATAAGTCAACTCCAAAAAAACCAAACAATCCAATTAAAAAGTGGGCAGAGGACCTGAGTAGATACTTCTCCAAAGAGGCCATACAGATAGATGCCAATAGACATCTGAAAAGACATACAAATTGTTAGTCACAAAATAGTCTCGAGGATGTACAGTACAGCATAGGGAATATAATCAATAATACTGTGATAACTGTGTATGGTGCCAGCTAGGTACTGGAAATACCAGGGGGAGCATTTTGTAAAGTATATGATTGTCTAACCACTATGCTGTCCACCTGAAAACAACACAAAGTAATATTGAAG